ATATTATCTGAACCAGAGCCCCTGACTCGGATCTCATGGTAGGGTATAAACTGATGGGGGTGTGTGAACAGTTTGGCAGTAAATAAGGGGTGGAGATAGCTCTCCTTGTTCCCCATGCCCACCTGGTTGTTAGGGTCATGGCCAGTGGGACCTCCTCCCATGGAATCTCTGCTCTGCCTGAGGTCGGGCACCATGTGTACCACCCCTGAGTCTGGACGTGCAAGAATTCCACCTCATGAGATCATTTGTTGCTATTGTTTGCTTTGTGAAGACAACAATTGTTCCCATACAGCCCAAGCACATCTATACTTCCAACAGTTCCAGCCACTGAACAAGAGCCACTTCTGACTCTACCAACTGATCAATGATACTCAGCAGCCAACATCGGGCAAGCATGCCCTGATCTACATGGCACAGACAGAAAACCATGTGCATACTTCCAGCTGCTACCACAGAGTGCCTAAGAACACCCCAGCAGACCACTGTCAGTTTTAAGTACAACAGCACTGTAAGGTCACAGATAACAGATGCTTTCAACTTACATGACGAAACAAGACAGAGTGTCTCAAAACAGTGACCAAAATACAAAGTCATAAAACATAATACCAGTAACGGAGTCCTGGTGTGGCGCTGAGGGCTAATGTGTCAGACTGCAAAGTCGTTTGAACTGCAACATCGGTGGTTCAAACTTACCAGCTGCTCCTTGGAAACCCTATACAGGGTCGCTATGGGTTGGAATCGACTTGACAGCACTTCACAACAACAATGATCAGACCTACCTGATAAGTAATTTCAAAGAATGATATTTAAGTGTCTTCCATGGATTAAGAGACTGAGAAAACTGCAGATGAAATCAAGGAAAACAGACAAAATTTGAAAAGAATTCAGGAAAATACTACAAGTACAAAGTGCCCCCCCCCCAAAAAAAAAAAAAAGAAAGAAAATTTGAAAACCATACAAAAACAGCAAATAGAAATTCAGAAGGTTAATACTAAGACTTCAGAAACAGATAAACACACTGAAAAGTGTGTTAGTAGAATTGAAAATGCTGAATTAGTGAGCTTTGAGACAGACGAATCTCTCAATATTCATCTGCTAAAGAAACAATTAGAGAAGAACAAAAAAATAATCCAAAGAAAGCCTATATGGGATATTATCAAAAAATTGAAGAATTCTACCAACATCTTCAGGCTGAAATTGATCAAACAAGCAATCAACATAGGTTGATAAGTTTCTGGTGATTGGAATGTGAAAGTTAGAAACAAGAGAAGGATCTTGTTGTAAATTATGGTCTTGGTGACAGATATGATGCTAGAGACCATATGGGAAGAAGTCTGACTCATAGCAATGCTATAAAGCCAGGGTGGGGAACCTTTTTCCTGCCTAGGGCCATTTGGATATTTATAACATCATTCGCAGGCCATACACAATTATCAACTTAAAAATTAGCCTGCTATATTTGGTCAAACATTTAATTAACTTACCCCCTAATGTGATGGGGTCCTGGTGTGGCATCACTGGATAAGCACTCAACCTCAAGGTCAGTTTGAGCCGCAAGGTCAGTGGTTCAAACTTACCAGCTGCTCCTCGGAAACCCTATACAGGGTCGCTTTGAGTCTAAATCAACTCCATGACACTTAACAACAATACGATGGTTGTAGAGTCCTGGTGTGGTGCTATATGATAAGTACTGGATCATAAGGTCGGTGGTTCAAACTTGCCAGCCGCTCCTCGGAGTAGGAACTGCCTCGACAGCACTTCACAACAACAACGTGATGGCTGGAACTGTGGTTGCCTTGGCAGGGCCAGACTAAATGATTTCGTGGGCGTGGGCCAGATGTTCCCCACCCCTGCTTGTAGAGGGTTTCTGAGGTGGATTTGAACTACTGATCATGCAGTTAGCAGTCCAGTGCTAATCCTACAAAATGGATGACTTATAGACAAAATGTGTTCTATCCATACAACAGAATATTTTATAGGCCTAAGAAAGGAAGACAGCAAAGGGCTATTAAGAAGACAAACAAAAGACCAAAATAGATGTCAGAGAGATTCTGAAACTTGCTCTCCATCGTAGAGATACTAATGCAAATGGAAGAAATGAGGAGGTAAAACAGCTGAACAGAAAATTTCAAAGGGCAGCTCGAGAAGACAAAGTCAAGTATTGAAATGTGCAAAGACCTGAATTAAAAAACCAAAAGGAAACAAACATTCCTCAAACTGAGTGAACTGAGGAAAAAATTCAAGTCTCGACTTATAGAAAGTTTCAAAAGAAGATGGAAGGAATATACAAAGTCACTGTACCTAAAAGAAATGGTCGATGCTCAGCCATTTCAAGAGACAGCACATGATCAAGAGCCAATGGTACTGAAGGAAGAAGTCCAAGGTGCACTGAAGGCAGTGGCAAAGAACAAGGCTCTGGGAATTGATGGAATAAAAAATGGAAATCTTTCAGCAAACTGATGCAGCACTGGAGGCACTCACTCACCTATGCTAAGAAATTTGGAAGACAACTACCTGGCCAACTGACTAGAAGAGATCTCGATTTGTGTGTATTCCAAAGAGAGGTGACCCAATGGAATGTGGAAATCATCAGATAATTATCATTAATATCACATGAAAAAAAATTTGCCTTTTAGATAATTCAAAAATGGCTACAACAGTACAAATTGACAGAGGTTCAAGCTGGATTCAGAAGAGAACATTGAATGAGGGATATCACTGCTGACATCAGATGGACTTGGCTAAAAGTAGAGAATCCCAGAAAGATGTATACCTGCGCTTCATTGACTATGCAATGGCTTTTGACTGTGTGGCTCATGACAAGCTATGAACAACATTGTGAAGAATGGGTATTCCAGAACACATGTGTTCATGAGGAACCTACACATAGACCACAAACAGTCATTCAAACAGAACAAGGGGACACTGAATGATTTAAAATCAGGAAAAGTGTGTACCATGGTTGTATTCTCTCACCATACTTATTCAGTCTGTGTGCTAAGCAAATAATCTGAGAAACTGAATTATATGAAGAAGAACATGGCATTAGGATTGGAGAAAGACTCATTAAAACAACCTGCAGTATGTGAATGATACAACCTTGCTTGGTGAAAGTGAAGGAAACTTAAAATACATACTGATGAAGATCAAAGAGCACAGCCTTCAGTATGGATTGCATCTCAATGTCAGGAAAACAAAAATCCTTACCACTGGACCAATAAATAACATCCATACAAATGAAGAAAACATTGAGATTGTGAAAGACTTCATTTTGCTCAGATCAACCACCAACACTCATGGACACCGAAATGAGGAAATCAAATGATGTATTGCATGCAACAAATAGGCTGCACAAGACTTCTTTAAACTGTTCACAAGCAAAGATGTCGGTTTGAAGACTAAAGTGCACCTGACCCAAGCCATAGTATTTTCACTAACCTCATATGCGTGTGAACGTTGGCTAGTGAATAAGGAAGACTGCAGAAGAATTGATGCATTTGAGTTTGGTGTTAACTCATGGGAGAAGAATATTAAAAATACCATGGACTGCCAGAAAAACAAACAAATCTGGGTTGGAAGAAATACAGCCAGACTGTCTCTTAGAGGCCAGGATGACCAACGTTCATTGCTCATACTTTGGACATATTATCAGGAAAGACCAGTTCCTGGAGGAGATCATGCTTGGTAAAATGAAGGTTTGGTGAAAAAGAGGAAGACCCTAAGAAGATGGATCAGCACCATGGCAGCGGCAATTGGCTGCCGTGTAATGATGGTTGCGATGACGTAATACTGGGCAGTGTTCTGTTCTGTCACTATGCTGGGATCACTAGGAGTCGGAAGCGACTCAATGACATCTAGCAATAATAACAACAAATAAGGAAGTGTTGACAGTAGCTACAACACGGACGAACCTTGAAAATTGTTGTTGTTGTTGTGTGCCGTGGAGTCGGTTCCGACTCATAGAGACCCTGCATAGGATTTCCAAGGCTGTAAATCTTTATGGGAGCAGAACACCTCATCTTTCTCCCGCGGAACAGCCGGTAGTTTTGAACTGCTGACCTTGCGGCTTGCAGCCCGATTCGTAACCACTACGCTACCAGAGCTCCTTATACTATGAGTGAAACGGCCAGTCATGGAAGACCACTTAGTCTATGATCCCACTGATGCGAAACACCCAGAAGAGAGAAGTCTATGAAGAAAGTAGTGCTTGCCTTTCAAGGTGGTGCAATGTTCTCAAGTTGTTAACAGTGATGGTTGCACAACTCTGTAAATAGCCAACTGTTGCTGAGTCGATTTCAAATCAGCAACCCTAAATGAGGAAGTACAACTGCCCCAAAGGGTTTCCTAGGTTGTCATCTTTATGGTGGTGGAGGAGAATATTGAAAGTGCCATGGGCTGCCAAAAGAACCACAGACCTGTGTTGGAAAAAGTGCAGCCAGAGTGCTCCTTGGAGGCCAGGATGGCCAAATTTCATCTCTGATACTTCTGACATATTGCCAGGAGGGACCAGTTGCTGGAGAAGGATATCATGTTTAGTAAGGCAGCGGGTCAGAGAAAAACAGGAGGACTCTCAATGAGATGGATTGGTCAAGTGGCAGCATCAATGGGCTCAAGCGTGGCAATGATAGTGAGGTTGGCCCAGGATTGGGCAGTGTTTCATTCTGCTGTGTATAAGGTCGCTATGGGTCAGTACCGACTCGATGGTACCTGACAACAACATCTTTATGGGAGCAGATCGCCTCGCCTTTTATCCTACAGAGCTTTGTTGTTGTTGTTGTTAGATGGAGGATCTGTAGTCCTAGGGACAGGTTCAAAGCTCCGGAGGACATAGTGTGGGAGCTCTCATAGGACCCAAGGGTCAGGGGCTGGCAAGCATAGAGTGAAAGGTCTGCATCCTATTGGGCAGCTATTGGTCGCAGGGTCAGAGAGCAGGGGCCAAAGGGAAGAGTGTGAGCACTTAGGTCACAATCACATGGGTAGAGGTTAGGGCTCAGACTCACCTGGTCCCCCTGACGGGCAATGATGGTGCCAGCTTTGGCATGATGTAGTAAGACCCGACCGTTTAGAAGAGATGGGTCCTGGGGAGAGAGGAGGATCAGTTGAGATGGGCCCGAGCAGACCTCCCCTGCCCACCATGCCCTCTAGTCCCTGCCCTCAGCTACCCACCTCAATGCGCATCAGCTTGGCCAGCTCCCGCTTGGCGGCTTCAATGATGCTGCTCGTTTGGCGGCCTTGGTAGGGCCCGAAGGGGCACCCGCCAGTGGCAGACTCATCCTCACAGTAGTTGTATTCACAGGCACCTGCTGGCTGCTCCCGGAGCTCCTGAGTGGGCGTCTGCAGGGGGCAAGACCTGTGACTTCCAGCTCCCACCTAACCACCCTGTCCTGGGCGCCCCACCTGAGATCATGGCTACATCCAGCCAGGAAGGACATTGGGGTGGAAGAGGGGAGAATGAAGCAGGGTTGTACCCGAGCCAGGGCTGCCTGAGACCCCCCTGAGGCCTCTTCCTGCAGGGACACAGAGATCCGGCCACGTTCATACGCCATGTCAAAGTCCGAGCGGGGGCCACCCTGCAAGCCTGCGGGTGGGGAGTGGGCAACACAAGCACATTAAAATGAGGGTGTGGTCTCTCGATGGGAGGAAGAAAGAATGCTAAGAATTGAAGAGGCAGGGAGTCAATTAGTCCAACTGACTAATAGAACATGTGGACATCAGTCTCCACAACTCTGAGACCAGAAGAACTAGATAATGCCTGGCTATCACTACCAACTGCCCTGAAAGAGATCATAGTAAAGGATCCCAGATAAGGGTGGAAGAAAATGTGGAACAAAACTTCAAACTATTTTATTTTTTTAAAAAAAAAGACCAGGTTTACGGGTCAGAAAGAGACTGGAGGAACCTAAGACTATGGTCTTCGACCACTCTTAGGTTAGGAGAGTCACACACCCTCATGGCCCATTTTCAGCCAAGCAGTAGGGAGATATGCTCACCATAGAACAGTCAATTTGTTCAGAGTCAAAAAGGCAACATGAGCCTCAGGACAAAACTGAGAAGGGATAGGAAGGTGGGTGGAATGGAGGAAGCGGGATAACTGTTGTTGCATGGAGGGGAATGTAATCAGTGAGATGATTTGTTGAATGCAAAGCTGATGGGCTTGTCTGTAAACCTTCACTCAATTCATAATAAGAACTTAAAAAAAAAACCAAAAAACCAGCAACAATAAAGCTTACTTCATCCCTTCTTTAAAAAACAAACAAAAAACAAGGGACTGACTATAACTAGTCTATGACCAGCCACTTGGGGGCAGTACTGACTCAGTGGTACAATTCTGGCCACCCTGTGGGAACTGTTGCTAAGTGTACAGGGTTTCCAAGGAGTGGCTAGTGGGTTTGAACCGTCAACTTTGCAGTTCAAGACCTGGGCTCAATTCCTAGTGAGTACACCCCATACACAGTTCATCACCCATCTATCTATCACTGGAGGCTTGTGTGTAGTTATGCTGAACAGGTAGGTTCCGTGAAGCTTCCAGATTAAGGAGAGGCCTGTGAGCTACTTCTGAAACGTAGCCATGAAAACACTCCAGACCACAAGGATCAAAGGGATGGCACAAGACTGGGCAGCACGTATGGGGACTGTGTACAGGGTCACCATAAGTCAGGAGCCGACTCAAAGGCAGCTAACGAGAGACTAATCGATGACTGCACTCTCCCTCCAAATCCCTTTGTATCACTGGCAGCAGAGGTCACCTCAGTTGTTTCTGCTGTTATTGTTCAGTGCTGTTGAATCGGTTCTGACTCATAGCAACCCCCCGGGGTTTCTAAGGAGCGGTTGGTTGAGTTTGAACCACCAACCTTGCGGTTTGAACCGTACGGGTGCTCATCTTATAGCACCGGGACTCCATCGCAGTGGCTAACCACAGAAAACGCCTAAGAAAGTGCTGTCACTATTCCAGTTTCCAAGAGGAAGCAATCTGGAGCAGAGTCTAGATTCAAACCCAGAAGCTCAAAGGCTGCCCACCCAACCCCACACTCCCATCCCGGGCACCGAACCTGAGATGTCCACAGGCATGGAAATACATCGGCTCAGTAGGGGCGCTGAGGGTGCTTCTAGGGAGGCGGGCTTCACGGGGTCCCCTGGGGGGAGACATGTGTTCAGGCCCAGCCCTTTGGAGCCACACTGTCTATAGCTAGGATTAGGGAGTGGAGGGTTGACAGAGGCCTGGATAAGGCTCAGCTTGGAGGCCCTGGGGAGCAGAGGCAAGGAAGAGGGTCCGAGCACTGTGGAGAGGGGTCCCTGGAGGGGCAGACAGAAGCCATTACTGGCTACCTAACTGGAGTTAGGGGAGGAAGGGGATTTCAATGGGGGTGGGGTTCCTCCGGGCCAGGCAGGTGCCAATTTCTTGTACCTGCAGGCCCAGGTAGTGGGGCCCCAGTGGGGTCGGGTGGCCGGCCCGGGGCCTCCCTCGGCTCCTCAGTAGTCGAAGTGCTGACCACCCGCTTGGAGCCGCGCACAGGGCTGGTGCGGGCAGGGAGCCCAGGACTGGGGAAGAGTCGGAGTGGCTGGATCTCCTGGGACAGAGGGCAAGTTTGTGGCATTGGCCCAGTCACAGGGGCACCCTCAGCGCTCCCCTGGGTCACCCCAACTCACGTGGCTGAAGAGCTCATTGGTCAGCCCCAGGTAGTTGTGAAGAGCCAGGAAGGTGACCCTCTGAAGCCGCACCATGATGATCTATGGGGGAGAGGGACGGGACCAGGAGAGGACGGGAGTCAAAGAGGGGACCAGCAGGGACAAGGCCAGGGATCCAGGGGGTCAGCCTCAGCGAACAAGAGCAGGGCAAGAATTAGGGGGTGGGGCCACGGATGACCAGCAGGACACGCTTGGAGTCAAGATCTGATGCAGGGAGGGGCAAAGCAGAGAAGAGGAGGTGTAGGGGGTGGAGCCCAGAAGATATCGGCAATCAGATTTGCGGAGCAACTGGTGGAAGGCTGCTAGTGGGCGGGGTCAGGGGTGGGGCCAGGAAGCCAAGCAGCTCTGGGCAGATAAGCTCGGGTGTGGAGGTTAACTGCAGGGTGATAAGAGTTTGAGGGGAGGGAAGGGAGCCCTTCTGACCTGCACAACCCGCACCAAGCTCTCAGGATACTTGGTGAACACAGCGGAGAAGGCTTCCACCGGCAGCCGCAACACCGTGGAGTCGCGGGCCGCGCGGGCAGACACGGTACGCTGGGGATGCTGGTGACCCTGAGGGCAGGGGCGTCAGCGGTCAGGGGCTGTGACCCTCCACCTTCCCACCCTGACCCGAAGCCTGGCTACATTCCTGCTCCCTGCCACTCATCCCTTAGGCCTGACCCCAAGCCTGGTGACCTCTCCAGCCCTGTCCAGGCCACTCACAGTGATGACGTCCATGATGCTCAAAAGGCTGTTGACGCTGTCCCCAGGTACCACTTCCTTCACCACGCACTCCTTTCCGTCCTGAGACACAGGGGCCACTGGCCAGTGAGGCCCCCACCCTGCTGGCCCGTAGACCCTGGGGGCCCACAGAACCGCTGACCAGCAACCATTCCTATCTAACTAACCACTGGTTCCACTTCCTCAAGACCACCCAATGCCCTTGGTCTCCCTTTCCACTGTCTCCAAACCACGTGCCTCCAAAAACTACCAACCCCTACCCATGACTGTAAAGGACTGCATTGTGCCCCCTCCAAATACACGTTGAAATCCTTACCCCTACTGCAACCAACTCAATGGCACTTAACAACATACCTATGAATATAACCCTGTTTGAAAATAGGGGCTTTTCTCAGTTATATTAAGGAGGTCACAGCAGAGCCGGGGTGTCCTGAACCCAATTGGGGGGGAGGGAGATCCTGAACCTAATCGCTTTTGAGTTACAAAGAGATTCAACACAGACCCACACACACACAGGAGGACAAATGAAGACAGATGCATTTACAAGTCAAGGGACACCCAGGGTTAGCCCAGCTTCTAGAAGCTGAAATAGATGAGGAATCCATGTGCCTAAAGGCCAGCCCTGAATGTGGAGAAAATCAATTCCTGTTCTTTAAAGTCACCCACTTCAGGTGCTTTTCTTCCGGCAGCCTAGATACCGAAGACAATGGCATCACTGGCTTGTCAGAAACCATACGGCTCTGCTACACATTAAACTATGGGCTCTAGTTCATAACTATGTTTCAATATCGGTTCATTAACTGTAACAAGCGTGCCTGGAAAATACAAGATGTTAACAGTAGGAGAAACTGCAGGGAGAGGAGGGCTGTGGGAAACTCTCTTGTACTTTCTGCACAAGTTTTCTGTAAATCTAAAACTGCGGGTAATTCTGTACTGAGAACATTTCCCAATGAAAGACGTACACAGTAGAATTCTCAGATGACACTGTATCAGGTGTCTGGTACAAACAGTGAATGTGTTCGACTGCTAACTGAAAGGCTGGTTGCTTGAGTCCCCCGCAGAGGCACCTCAGAAGAAAGGCCTGGCTATCTACTTCCCAAAACCTAGCCACTGACAACCCAATGGAGCACAGCTCTACTCTGACGTACGTGGGACTGTCCCGAGTTGGTCGACTAGATACCGGCAGGGGAATGTAGAGAGACAAGGAACTCCAATAGCAAATACCTGACTGGAAAACTAAGACCTTGGCCAGACATCAGATGATGCGTTGGGAAACACCCACTTTAGGTGCCTTAAGTTCACATAAAATGCTGAACTTGGATGAGCCATGAACACGTGATGCTGAGAAAAGTCAAGTCATAAAAGAACCATGATCCTATCTACAGGAAATAGGTAGATATTCAGAAACCAAAGCTCAGGGTTGGCAGGGAGTTTCTGCTAATGGTGGTGGCATACCTCAGAAAGGAGAGCGACAGGGCTCGTCCAATGAGAAGACAGCGACCAGTGCCATCTAATTCCACAAACTGCTGAATTGGTATCAGTGTTCTGTTACGTACAGTCTCGTTACTACTGTTCACTGTCATCAAGTTAACACAGACTCATGGCAGCCCTATGCAGACAGCAGAGCTGTGCTCCAAAGGGTTTTCAAGATGGTGACCTTTCTGAAGTAGAGCGCCAGACCTGTCTTCCAAGGCATCTCTGGCTGGGTGGATTCAAACAGCCAACCTTTTACCCATCTGCACCACCTAGGTGCACCACCCCCTAACATACAAGGCTACTCGTATATTCTTCCCAAGATAAATAAATAAACATATATATACACATATACCAAATGGTTCTGCAATCCTGGTGTGGCACTGTGAGCTAAAGCACTGGACTGCAAGGTTGATTTGCACCACAAGGTCGGAGGTTTAAACTCACTAGTTGCTCCTTGGAAACCCTATACAGGGTTGCTATGAGTTGGAATCCACTTGACAAGCTCTTAACAACAATAGCATACCAAATGGTCAACAATTGCTTTAAACAAAAGGTGAGTGTGTAGATGAAACAAAAATGTGCAAGAGTGAGTTGACTGACACAAAAGGAGAAATACCGCATAGGAACAGTATTGTAAAAGACTAAGAAAAAGCACCCAGACTAAAGGAGAAATACTGCATAGGACCACTATTGTAAAAGACTAAAGGTGGGGGCACTTCTTTGCTGGTTACCGGGATGTGGGGGTAGGGTGAGGGGAGGGAGGGTTAGGTGGAATACAAGGTAGGGAATAGACACAGGATAGTTTGGGTGCTGGGGAGGAGGGCAATACACAAGAAGGAGGAAGGGAATGGAAGAACAAGACTGATGGGAAAACAATTAGGCAGGTTTGCACGGACTAAGTGGGACAGAGATAAATAATGACGTATACACAACCTTGGAACAACAGGGCTCTGGGATACAGGGACTGAAACATGGGTGGAATGGGCAAAAGGGGGGAAATGATGTTAAGATGCTTGGCTGTCTTTTGAATTTTGGTTTCCCCTGGCATACCATAATAAAATAGACACTTGAGGGGGAGAGAAAGGAATAGCCAGAAATATCACCATAGAAAGCTTGTAAGTCTGTCTTCTG